CACACACACACACACACACACACACACACACACACACACACACACACACACACACAGAGGAGGGATTGTTATTAGATAGGCCCCCGATTGTGCTGCACTCTAGCACAAAGACACTCAAACGTACCAACCGGCAACTTAACCTACCTACACCGCTGACCAACCCGCCAACATACTAACAGACAGCACACCCTGCCAACATACGAACGTGTAACCATCCACTGCTTCCATCTTACCAAGCCATACATATACTAAGCAACAACTTAGGTCGCTTAGTATATACACACACACACACACACACACACACACACACACACACACACACACACGCACACACACACACACATTCCAACACACATGCGCACACACACACCCACCCACCCACACACACACACACACACACACACACACACACACACACACACACAGACACAGGAGGGATTGTTATTACACAGGCCCCTGATTGTGCTGCACTCTAGCACAGAGACACTCAAACGTACCAACCGACAACTTAGCCTACCTTCACCGCTGACCAACCCGCCAACATACTAACGGACAACACAGCCTGCCAACATACGAACATGTAACCATCCAGTGCTTCCATCTTACCAGGCCATACATATACTAAGCAACAACTTAGGTCGCTTAGTATATATACCATGCAATGGCACGGTCCCGGCCCCCATGACAGAATTGCACGGTCCTTCATGTCGGGTCCTACCATTCAATGGCATTGTCATGCATCATGGGCACTGTCGCGGGAGCCTGGCAACATAGGGACATTTATGGCGGGTCCTACCGTGCCGTCGCATCCGGCGCCTTAGCGTTCCGGAGGCGCAGGACCATACCACGGAAATGGTATGGCCATGCAGCACTGTCCGGCACCCCGGGTCCTGGAGCGGGGGTTCTACCATGCAATGGCGTCCTTTGCCCCGCACTTTGCCATGCACTGCCACGGTCCCACATCCTCCTCCGTAACACAGAGGACGCCGGACCACACCATGACATGGCATGTTACTTCATCCTTAGTGTTGACATGCAATGGCACGACCCTTCAGGCTGGGTCTTGCAGCGCGGGTCCTTCATCCCTAGTGTTGGCATGCACTAACGCGGTCCTGCACCCCGGGTCCTACCACAAAATGGCATGGCCCCGCAGCACGGTCCGGCACCCCGGGTCCTGGAGCCCGGCACCGACGAAGCCAATGACGCCCTTTGTCCCGCGCCCTCCTTCGTAACACAGAGGACGCCGGACCAAACCATGACACGACATTGTCCTTCATCCCTTGCGTTGCCATGCGGTGACACGGTCCTTCAGCCTGGGTCCTGCAGCGCGGGTCCCACCGCACGATCGCATGGTCTATCATTTTGGGCACCACCTTGCAATTGCACTCCCCAGCACCCGGACGTGGCACGTTCAAATTTAGGTTGAAGCCGGGCCATGACGTGGTACGGTGCAGTGCCTCGGGGACGCCGGACCATGCCACAGCAGGGTCCAGCGGCTTCGGAACCCCGGACCATGCCATGGCAAGGTCGATTGGCTCGGGGACGGCGGACCATGCCATGGTATGGTCCGGCTGCTCAGGGACGGCGGACCATGCCATGGTATGGTCCGGCGGCTCAGGGTCCAGCGGCTCAGGGACCCCGGACCATGCCATGGCAGGGTCGATTGGCTGAGGGACGGCGGACCATGCCATGGTATGGTCCGGCGGCTCGGGGACTCCGGACCATACCGTGACATGGTCCGGCGCAGTGGAGCCGTTGAACCATACCACGGCATGGTTCGGTGTCCCCAAGCCGCCGGACCATACGACGGCATTGTCCGGCGTCCCCGAGCCGCCGGACCATGCCATGGCACGGTCTGGCATCCCCGGTCCACCGGACCGTACCATGGCATGGTCCGCCGTCCCCGAGCCCGCAGGACCATAGCATGGCATGGACCGGCGTCTCCGAGCCGCCGGACCATACCATGGTATGGTCGGGCGTCCCGGAACCGTCGGACCATACCATGGCATGGTCCGCCGTCCCCGGGCCGCCGGACCACAGCATGGCATGGTCCACCGTCCCCGAATTGACAACGCCCCCAGGACGACACCGTGCCGTGGTCCGGCGTCCCGGAGGCGCCGGACCATGCCGTGGCATGGTCCGTGCCCAGAAGGCGTCAGCGAAGACATGGTATGGTCCGGCGACCCGAAACGCCGTGCACATGCGATGGTTCTTGCCAGCTCCTCTGGGACGCCGGGCCACAGCATTGCGTGGCTCCATTCCAGGTGACTGTGGACATTACCCTTGGCAGCCGCTGACCACTGCGCGAGCCCGAATGTTCCATAACAGAAAGTCGTTTATGAAACATAGGTTCAAAGTGGGAGGAACATAAACAAAGTTCCTGATATGTGTGTTCCGTAACATAAGTTGTTTCGACGAGCGTCTTCCCCGAACAATACCGACTCGTGCAGCCCATGTACTCTTTTACCAGAACTGACACATTTATTGAAATGAAGGGTAAGCAAACGTGAGACCTTAAAAAACAAGTACCTTTTCGAAACAATAGACATTTAAAAACAAAGACCTTTTTGAAAACATAAGACCTTTAAAAACAATGACCTTTTTCAAAACATGAGACCTTTAAAAGGGACACACTTCTTCTGGATGAATGTAAAACAAATGCGGACGTGGAATGAAGAAAGATACGTAATGTCATAAAAAGAAACGGCCGCCCGACCTTAAAACAAAAAAAAGGCCTGCCAGGTTCCTTACAACAAGAAAACTAAAAAAACAACAGCTTTAGGACCGAAGCCTTGAGAGCTTAAAAGTGGTAGGCGAAGAAACCTCACCTTCTCGAAGGTGACGACAACTTTGTGCCCGCCCGCTGCTGCGTGAAGGCCCCCGGACGACTGCTGAGGTTCACTGCTAGCCTGTTTGTTGTTGAAAAGGCTGCTCGAAGGCACCGTGCAATAAGAAGGCATTCGGCTGGGAGGAGGCACCGTGCAAAGGCGCCCCGAGAGGGCACACAGCTGCTCAAAGGCAACGTGGGAAGGCGCCCCGAAAAGGCGCTGTGTTAAGGTGTTGTTGAAAGAAGATGGTACCGTCACGCGCAGCTCGCAATGCCGCACACAGAACTCGCAGTTGTCGTTTGCGCAGCTCGCAATGGCGCAAGCGCAGGCCGCAATAGCGCAAGCGTAGGGCGCAATGGAGGGAGGAGGAGGAATGGCGTTTCGTCGGGCTCATGGTTTCGCGCGGATGCGAAATGAACATGTCGGCGGGGGTTAGGGTGCTTTTCCTTCCCCGTGCAGCCCTGCCTCCCGTCGATTCGTGAGTCCGGGCCTCGTTTTTTTTTTCGGGACAGGTGTCGTTTCGGCCCTGCACGTGGACCGAGAAACGGTGCGCGGTGCAGACCTCGTTTCGGGCCAGACCTTTTTTTTCCGGTTTCGGGCCTCGCCCTTTTTCCCTTTGCCACCTGCTTTTCCCACATTTGGTACCCGGCTACAGTTTCGGTCGGCGTTGTGAAACCGGTGCAGATTGATACCGAAGCTGGGAATGAGAATCCTTGTGGCCACTGCTCACGTGCACATCACAGTTCAACCATTCTATGCCAGGGCCTGCATTTCACCTAAGTTGCCTCCATCGTCGTTGACCGTTCCGTGCCTGCGCCTGCCTTTCGCAGAGGTATGACGCCAAGCCATCTCGTCTATCCTCCCTCCCTTACCCCGTTTCCGTTGTTCATTGATTGGTTGATCCTTTTTTTTTTCTTTTTTTTTAAATCAGTCGAAAATCAACGTGTCCAATCAGATTGATTGATTGATTGATTGATTGATTGATTGATTGATTGACTGACTGATTGGCTCGGACAATCCAATCGAATCGATCGATTCGATTGGATCTTGAAATAAAGATCCAATCGAAACAATCGATTCAATAGTCTATAAATGAGTTGTTGTTTTTTTGTTATTGATGGATTGATTCGGCCGGTTGAAAAAAAAAAGGAAAAAAGTGCGTTTGGAGTTTCTCTTGTGACTTTCATGGTCCGTAGTTGCTGCCGATTGAAACCTGAAACACCGGGAAGAGGAGGAGGAGGAGGAGGAGGAGGAGGAGGAGGAGGAGGAGGAGGAGGAGGAGGAGGAGGAGG